TCCCCGGCGGGCGGGATCCCTCCGCGCCCTCCATGGCGACTCCGCGCGCACCTCTTAGGTGCGGAGGCCCCGCAGGGAGGCTGGTCTCCCCGCAGCTGTGTTTGTAGTTATTTTTCCTTTTGATTGTTCTCCCTTCTATTAATTTAGGATGATCAGGAGTTCCCTGACCTAGAAAGGAACAACCTCTTAGGAGAGAAGCCAATAAATCAAGATGAGAAATTAAGATTAAAAAAAACATCAACTTCGATTCCAAATCCATATGCCCATTTTTTGATGATGGATTTTTTTAAATGGTGTGTGTGTGTGTGTGTGTGTGTGTGTGTGTATAAAAGAGTTAAACGTCCTTTCATAAATGGCGATTTCCCCTCTTTTGCCTCCTCTGACCCCACATCCTCTCCTTGCGCCCCTGGGAGATCAGGTCAGGAAGGGCTACAAATCGCCCCGCAGTTTAATGGAGGGAGGTGGGCCGTGGAACCTGCATGAGGCAGGTCTTTATTCCAATCCGATTTGTTCCTGATTTCTTGGCTTCCTCCTCTCAGCAGGACGCCCCACAATGTGGGCGGTAGCCTGGCTGGCACACCAGTCCCTGTATGTGGCTGAGGCAGCCTGGGCCGGCCTGGATGCTGACCAGGGCCCGCAGCGGGCGCATCAGTGTGGCAGGAAACTTGGGGGACTCCTGCTGCCCAGTGTTGGGACTGTGCGCCCTTCCCCTCTGCTGAGCTCTGTTTGGCCTTGGAAGTGGCAGTCACGAAAGTCCTTTATAACCTTCCAAAGGGACCCGAGTGGTTCTAGCTGTGCTGGGAAAAGTGGCTGCGCGTGCCGGCTGGATAGATGAATGCGCAGTGCTGGACATGGTTTTATGTTCATGAAGCACCCATCCCAGCCTCTTCCACAAGCCAGCGAAGAGCTTATTACATTCTGATGCCATAAAGCAGTGGGCTTTTACAAGGATAACAAACAAATCCTGCCAAGTTTTAATGCCTCGTTGTGTGCTAAAATTGGATATCGACAAACCAGTTGAGGTTTAATACTAACTTGAGATTTAGTGTATTTTAAAGTTTTTCTCTAGGTATTTCAGTCTGCGTTCCAGAAGAAAAACGAACAACAAAAAAATCAGACCATTTTAAAGTAAGTGCTTACGAACATGTCTAGCTTTTCTCCTCCTGAAAACGATGGCTTCCAAGCCCCCTCCCAGCTCCCAAATGGTGGGATATTGTGTTTCTGCTTTCACATTTCCAGCACAGGTGATTCCTCCATGTGGGTGTTAGAAATACACATTATGTAGGAGAGATGTGCATTCCGGGGACCACTCACTAGTTATCCAGGGTCTCACTGTACATCCTATATAATAAAGAGGTAATATGCAAATTAGCCCTCATGGCAGCACAAGATGGCTGCATGGGGGAACCAGGCCGGCAGGGGGTTAGTGAGGGACGACCAAACAACTGTACAGCAGGCTGCATGGGGCAACCAGGCCAGCGGGAGGGCCGTGAGGAGAGACCAGGCAGGCAGGGGGGGCACTTGGGGGCGACCAGGCCAGCAGGGGCGTAGTTGGG